TGGACACTGGGGAGTTTGATGGAGCCGGCGGTGCCAGAGGGCAGGGCTGGGAGCTGAGTGAGCCCTGGTCCCTGTTCCTACACCAGTTCCTGTTGTTGCTTCCAGCTACTCAGCCAACACTTTGGGAACGAATGGATGCGCTGAGGCTTTCCTGGCAGGAGGGGCACCAGCTCCCAGCCTGGGTCCTGCTCTGCTCCAGGAGGCTCCTGGGGTCTCGATCCTCCCTCCGGCACCATCGGCACCCATCTGTGATCCTCCTCCTCACACCTCCCACCGCAGCCGATGGACAACAGGGGAGAAGCATTTTTGCCGTTGAGGTTCAGACCCTTGCTGGGTGCTGGGAGGAGTTTGTGGCGGGTCCCAAGCGCATTCCCTGCCCCTGGCACCCCCGGCACAGCGGCAGCAGCCCGGAGGCGCTGGGCCGGGCGGGAGCAGGGATTGCTCAAGCAAATCCCGCGGGTGAGGTCAATGGGAGCTGTGCTTGTGAAAGGAGGGGGTAACCGGGGCCTGTTGTGGCAGCACCAGCAACCGACGCTGCTCTTCCCCTTCCCTGCCTGCGCCAGGGCCGCGAGGCTTGGGAAGCTCCGGAGGGAAGCGAGGAGGCCATGGAGATGCTGTGAGGGCTGGAGCAGCTCTGCTCTGGATGCAAGACTGAGAGACTGCCCCATCCCTGGCAGTGCTCAAGGCCAGGTTGGACACAGGGGCTTGGAGCAAGCTGCTCCAGTGGAAGGGGTCCCTGCCCGTGGCAGGAACTGGATGAGCTTCATGATTCTATCCTATGATGGCTCCATGAAGAGCTCAAAGCCGGAGCACGGTCTCTGTCCCTCAGGCTGGCGCTGGGGGCTCAGAGCATCACAGTGAGAACACCCAATACAAAAAGAGCCTTTTGCTGTCCCAGACCTGTGGGGGTCCCAGTGCCAGAACTGAACCCTCTCCCACCGGGGGGGGGGGCTGGAAAACCTTCGTGCCAAGAGCAGATAAACCCCAGCTTCCCCTCAAAGCCAAATGAACTCGCTGCTGGCCCCGCTGGCTCTCCGTGCTGCTCGCTGGTGTTCGCTCCAGTGCCTCCGCGGCCCGAAACCCGTGTTTAGATAAACCTGGGAGCCAAAGGCGCTGTGGCAGCAGGGTCCTGCCCTGCCCCAGGGCAGGAGGTGTCACCCGCAGTGTAAACAGGCTGCGGCGGGGGCCGGGCACCGGCTTCCCAGTGCTGCAGCGGCGGCTGGAGCAGCAGGAGTCACCCTGCGGCGCGGCTCCGGGATGAGGTGGGAATGGAAGGGATGCAGTGTCCAGGGGGTATCCGCCATCCCCTTCTGCACCCTGAGAGCCGGCCCCTGTGCTCTGATGTGCCAAAGCCATAGCCGGATTCTTCCAGGATTCCCAGGGGATGCAGTGGATGGAGGACAGACAAAAAGTAGGGAGGTGGGGAACCCGTGTTTCCCATCGTTGATGTTTTGGATCCATTGTTTCCTTGCAGGAGGCTGCAGCAATCCTAATCCTGCGGGTTTCTTTCTCCCCTGTTTTCTAGAGCTGCCCCACGGCCACTGGGGTGGCAGGGACTTGGGAATGTGGCTGCGGAGGGGATGTGCGCAGGCACTGAGGGGCTGGGGACTGGGAATGCTTGGGACAGCAGAATGCAGGCACCTGGGAACACCAGGACTCGGGAATGCCAGGGCCATAGGGCAGCTGATACGGGACCATCAACTGAGGAAGGGTGGGATGCAGCGGCTCTTCCCGCACCCTCAGAAGCCATTTGGGAAGAGGAAGGGGAAGGAGAAGGGCAGCTCGGATGGCTTCCCCGAAGGGCAGCAGCGTGCTGGGGACCGGATGGTGTCACAACCGCCCGTGCCCAGAAGCTGAGCCCCAGGTTTCCCAGCAGACAGGGTGGATGAGGACATCTCCTTCCCCTTGGCTGTGGGACCTCACAGGGTGCCCGGCTCCAACCCCAAGGACCAGAGAATCCCAGAATGCTTTGGGTTGGAAATGACCTTAAAGCTCATCCAATTCCAACCCCAATCCTTGGCCAAACCCATATGTGGGGCTGGTTCCCAGGCCACCAGGCCACCCCAACACCTCCCTATGGGGTGCTCCACTGCTGCCCTTCGCAGGTGCCCAAAGGATGTGCCACCGATTTGAAATCCATGCGGACCAGCCCGTTCCCTTTCACCCCAACAGTCCTTTCGGTTTCCAACCAGGTGAGTTTTAATAAGCTCAAATAAAGCATCTGCTGCTTCAGTGCGGCCCTAACGTGAGGAATATCAATTAAGAGGAGGCATTCTTGGTCATCCGAGTTCAGCGCAGCGGCTCGGGAGCTGGAGCTGGATGGGAATGTGAAGGAAATTACAACCTTTTCGGGGAAACCATTAAATAAAGCTCAGAACTGGTCCAAAAGCACCCCTGGGGGAGGGCAGCAGTGCCTTTAATGTGCTCTATTTTGAGCAAGGACGTGAGTTTTCAGTGGGAATTGCTGCTTTCTGTTCCTTTCCCCACAGCTCCATGTCCATGTGGCCCCAGGGCTCAGCCCCACCACTGGGATCCCCCCATTTACCAGTAACCTTCCCCAGCCATGACCGGTTACCAGATGTTTCCAATCCCAGAGCAAGTGCTGAGGCCAAAGTGCTGCGATTTGGGGTTATCACGGATCCCTCTGCGCTCCATCAGCCTGGGGGATGCTTCCACAGCCCCAGCAGCGTGCGGCTGTGCTGGGGAGCAAGGAAGGGCAGAGTGATGAGGATGGGCAGCGTGTGTCCCATCCCCACAGTCCTGGCAGCGGGCCGGTGGATTTTGGGGTGCCATTGCCTGTCCTTTGGGATCTTCCTTTTGGAATCTCCTGGGGGCCCGCGGAGCAACGTGAGCCTGCACTTTCCGTGCTGGCCTGGGTGGGTGCTCTCATGTGGTACCCATCTCCCTGAGGCTGCAGTCCCGGGGGGGGGCTCCGCACCGCATTATACACCCCATTGTACACCCTATTGTACACCTGATTGTACATACTATTGTACACCCATCGCACACCCCATTGTACACCCCATCGTACACCCCATCGTACACCCCATTGTACACCCCATCGCACACCCCATTGTACACGCGATTGTACATCCGATTGTACACCCGATTGTATACCCCATTGCACATCCCATTGAACGCCCCATCGCACACCCCATTGTACACGTGATTGTACATCCGATTGTACACCCCATCCTACACACCATCGTACACTCCGTCGCACACCCCATTGTACACCTGATTGTACACCCCATCGCACACCCCATTGTACACCCCTTTGCATGCCCCATCGTACGCCCCAACGTACACCCCATCGCACACCCCATTGTACACCCCACCGCACACCCCATTGCACACCCCATTGTACATCTCATCGTACACCCTATCGTACACCCCACCGTGCACCCCATCGCACACCCCACCGCACACCCCATCGCACACCCCATTGTACACCCCTTTGCACACCCCATCGTACCCCCCACCGCACACCCCTTTGCACACCCCACCGCACACCCCATCGCACACCCCATTGTACACCCCTTTGCACACCCCATCGTACCCCCCACCGCACACCCCTTTGCACACCCCACTGCACACCTCATCGCGCACCCCATAGCACACCCCATCGCACACCCCATTGTACATCTCATCGTACACCCCTTTGCACACCCCATTGCACACCCCGACTTGACTCCGGCTCCCCTCTTCGATTCCACACCGGGTTTCACGCCGCTCCCTCCCGCTCTGCCGGACCCCACGTGGGAACGGGGCGGGGCCTGCCGCGCCGGCCAATGGGCAGCTCCCGGCCCTGACACTTCTCGTCACGTCAACAGCCGGAACGCACCCAATTAGCGGCGAGGGGGGGGGGTGGGGGGGGGGGGGGGGGGGGGGGGGGGGGGGGGGGGGGGTGTGGGGGGGGGGGGGGGGGGGGGGGGGGGGGGGGGGGGGGGGGGGGGGTTGGGGGGGGGGGGGGGGGGGGGGGGGGTTTCTCCCCTCCTCCCCCATTCATCATTTCATGCCCCCCCCCCCCCCCCCCCATTGCTCCCGCCCCTCCCCCGCGCGGCGCTGTTGTGACGCGCCGTCGCGCGCTAATTAATCCGCCATTGCCGGGCTCGCCCCGCGTGGCTTTGATTGACAGCCCGCGGCCGAGGGGCCAATAGCGTGGCAGAGCGCCGCCCGCCGCCTGCGTTTGATTGGTCTGCGAGGGTGGGGCTCGGAGGGGGCCCCCACGTGGGGCGGGGAGGCTCCGTGTGACGTGCGGGGCCAGGAGCCATTTTGTGCCGCCGACCGAGCCCCTCCCCCTCCCCCCCATCCCCGTTACCCCCCCTCCCCCCCCCCCCCCGCAGCGGGGCTCCGGTGTCGGGAGCGGAAGGGTCCCCCCGGTTCCCCTCCCCCCGCCCGCTGCTCCCCGGGCCCAGCACATCAAAGGCACCGAGCGCTCTCCCGGGGGGAGGGGTGAAGCTGCTCCCGGTGCGGGGGGAGGGGCCCGGGGTACCCCGGTACCGTGTTTCGGGGCGCACCGAGGCGGGTCACGGGCACCCCCTCCCCCACCCCAACCCCCCGGTACCGCGGCGGGGGGAGGCGCCGGTTCCGCTCCCGGTGACCGGGGGGGGGGGGGCGTGGCTTGGCGGAGGGCGCGGCCTATTCGGTGGGCGTGGCGATGGGGCGTGGCGGCCCTCGCGACAGTGTTTCAGACACAAGCTGGTTATTGTGACGTCGCCGCCAGCGCCTCCCAATCAGCGCTCGCTTTCCTCCGCCCCACGTGGGCCCGGCGCGTCTCCATTGGCTGGAACCGGAGGGGCCGCCCGGGTTTTGTTCGAGGCCCCCCCCATCCTTCCCTTTCCCTCCCCGCTTCGCCCGGGCGCTCTGGCGGCGGCGGCGCGGCCGGACCGCGTGCTCCGGGACCGGGACCGGGACCCGCGGACCCCTCCTCGCCATCGCCCTCCTGCACCCGGAGCCCCCCCGGCACCGCCACCGCCACCGGCCGCGGGATGGGGGCTGCCCGGACCTGAGCGCCCACCCCCGGCGCGGGGAAAGGGGGGGGGGGGAGCCGCGGCGGAGGCACCGCTCGCACTTCGCATGCCCGCGGCGCCCGGGAAGTCGGATGTGTACGGCCTTCTCCCCCCTCTCCTCTCTCCTCCATGGCCGTCGTGCTCCGGCGTTAGTTCCTGGCTTTGCTTCCCCCCCCCCCCCCCCCTTAGCAGGAGCCATCCCCTCCTTCCCCCCCCCCCCAACCCTCTTTTTTATTGATTTTCACTGGTTTTAGGGGTTATTTTCCTTCCCTCCGCTGCGAGGCCGCGGCCCGGGGTGTTGGGGCGGGGGGGGGGGTCCCCGGCCCTTCGCTCCCTGGTCCCCGCGGTGGCCGGGCCGAGCTCCGCGGGCGCGCAGCGCCTCTCCGGCTGCGCGGTGCTTTGCGCCGGGGGGGGGGTTGTAACGACGAGACGGACGGACCCGCTTCCCCCCCCCCCTTCCCTTCCCTTTTCCCTTCCTTTCCTTTCCCTTCTCCTCCGCCCCCCGCACGGACTTTCCTCTCCTCTCTTTGTTCCAGTTCTCGGCCTCTCCGGGAGCGCTCCGTGGCCGGCGGGCACCAGCACCGGGAGCAGCAGCAGCAGCAGCACCGCACGTAGCGAGGCTCGGCGCGGCGGGCTCCAGTGACCGCGCCCCAGCCCGGCCATGTACCCCCAGGGCCGGCACCCGGTGAGTCCCGCTTCCCCCCCTCTCCCTTTACCCCGGAACCCTCCCTTTCCCCCGCTCCCGTTCACCCCCCTTGTGCTGAGCGCTCCCCCCCCCACCACCGCTCCCCGCAGGCTCCGCACCAGCCGGGCCAACCGGGCTTCAAATTTACCGTGGCCGAGTCCTGCGATCGGATCAAGGACGAGTTCCAGTTCCTGCAGGCCCAGTATCACAGGTAAAGCCCCCCCCGAACCCCTTCCATGACCCCCCCCCCTCAAACCGCCGTGTCTCACCCCCTCTTTCTACCCCCCCCCCCAGCCTGAAAGTGGAGTATGATAAGCTGGCGAACGAGAAGACCGAAATGCAGCGCCATTACGTTATGGTAAGAGACTTTAATCAGATTTCGGATCAGCCTGGAAATGTCATTAGCTGCCAGCCCAGACGGGCGCTGGGGAACGGGGAAACGGGGGGGGGGAGCACCCCGTAACAGCCCCCCCCCCATCGGGGACATCCCCACCACCGGGACCGGCACCGGAGACCCGGGAAGCGCCAGCGCAAGTTTCCTGTTAACCCCCGTTGTGCCGGTGTTTGGGGTGGGGGGGTGGGAGCAACGGCCTCGGGCTCGAGCGGTTATTGGGGGGGGTCCGGGCTACTCCCCCCCTTTTGCTGCATCCCCTCCTTTGCAGCCCCTTTCTCTTTGCTGCACCCCTCTTGCAACCCCGGGGCACTTGGTATGAGGGGGGGGGTATCCGAGAGCTCCCCCCCCCTAGGGGAAGTTGTCCCTTTTTTGGAGCCATAAACCCCTCTTTTGCCCTAATTTAGAGCTTGGGGGGCCTTAAAGGTGGGAGCCAGCCCCTCTCTGCCCTTGTGCTGAGGTCTTGGGGTGTTCCCCCGTAGCAGTGCTGAGCCCGGGGTGGGGAGCAGACCCCCCTTTTCTCTGCTGAGAAGCTGGGGTTCAGGCCAGGACGGGCTGTACCTGTTCTACGGGGCGCCTGCACCCAGCCCTGCGCCTCTTTGTGTTCCCGGAGTAGCTTAGGAGGAGAAAAGAGGAGTCGAAAGGAGTGTCCTCCTGTGCGAGGCAGCCAGTCACCCCTAAACACGCCTTACTACAAGGTGTAATTGCCTTGGCTACCCAGGCTTTCAGCGCAGTTGTGACTGGGATGCTTTCTGGTAATGGCCTTATGCAAATCCCTTCTGGTAAATGAATTCCAGTTCTTCCTGGCTCTCATATCTTATTTATTGTGTCTTTTCTTTTATCCCCCCACCCCCAGTACTATGAAATGTCCTATGGGTTGAATATTGAGATGCACAAACAGGTGAGTAATCGAAAGGGGGGAATCGGGATGGATGGAGGCATGGGTTGAGGGGTTGATTGAGCCCTTGTTGCCCTTTTCTTAACCTAAATCGGGCCTTGATGGCTCTAAATGGGGAATTAGTGTGGAATTCGGGGCTGTGGGATCTCACACCCAGCAGGTTCGCTGTGAGCTGCGGGTTCCTGGCAGCCTGGTGGGGGGTTTCTGTGCCAGTACTGGGGAAGAGCAGAGGTTTTGAGCAGCGTGTTTATGGGGAGAGGTGGGAAGAGCCTTGCCTTGTGTTCCCAGGGCTCTGGAATACTGTGATCCGCGTCTTGCTCGGGGTCTGTTGTTGGTCTAACGCGGCTGTTTCTAAGGTCATACCGCTGATACTCGCTGTGCCATAGCGTGAGACTTAGAAGGGAATTATGTGCAGGGATACCGATATGGAACGGTGTGTTGCTCAATGTCACGGATTTGTCTTTGCATCTGGAAAATGAAGCAATGCTCGGGGTGGTTTTTTCAGCCTCCTCTAATATGTAACTTGCCTGAAGGGGAAAAATAGGGAAGGCCAGAGCAGAATGTGGTGTGCTCCCTTGATAAGATTATAGTTAAAGAGCCTAAAGGCTGGGCACATGATGGTAAAACTTAAAGGAATAAAGTTATTATTGAGATTAGGCCTGATTATTTGTGCTGCTGCTGCTTACTGGTTTTAGAAGGAGTTCTAATTAAGACCTTAAGGCAGATAGAAGTTGACATCAACTTTGCCGTTCGCAAATGAGCCCCATCCAGCTCCAGTGTGGTTTTGCTTTGGAGCAGCATCTTCCTTCCAAGTCAGAAGGTGTCGGGAGGCAGCTGATGAAATTCCAAGCAGCATCTCTGGGAATTGGCCTCTTCTCCTCTTTCCCTTCAGCTCCTTGGGATGTAGTCACAGGGTAACGAAAATAATTACTGCTTAGTCTTCAGGTTTTTAGGAGTATCATGTTCCATGCAGATAATCCCGACTGCTTTCTCTTCCTTCCTCCTGCCTGGATGAAGGTGTCCTTGGGGGGCTGCACGGGCACCGGGATCCTATCCCAGCCTGGCAGAACCTCGGCCACCGTTTGCCTTGGTGCTCAGCAATGCTCCTGAGCGCAGGATTTTGGCCTCTGTCCCTGCTTTGCCCAGAGGGACATGGAGCCTGTGGGAATGCTGAGGGACTGGAGTGTACCGGCTGGCTCTCGGGAGAGGGAATGCCTCTTCTGGACCGCCTGGTTGAGATGCTGGAATAATGCAGCAGGATATTGAGCTGCTTTTTGTCCTCTTGGGGTGGAAGCTTTGGAAGCCCTGGATGCTTCCTGAGATGCATGTGGTGGAAACCCCAAACCAGTGAGGGTCGGGGCTGGGCGATGAGAGCCCAGCGGAGATTCTGGCTCCATTGGCGTGTGATGGAGGCCTCCACCATCCACCCCGTCTCGTGGTGTGACCACGTAGCGTGGCGCTTGGCGAGGCCAAGGGTCTGTGCCTGGTTTCGGAGGGTAATGAGGAGCCTCGGGATGCCCGGGGGGGGCAGTTTTCCATGGGGCTGGTGCGGGCAGAGCCGCCTGCCCTGCCCTGGGTTGTGCACGGTGGCGGTTCCCACGCCGCGGCCGATGAAGCCCTGCCGGATGATTGCAGCCTGTGCCGAGCATCCCTGCCTTGTTCCCGGTGACATATGCTGCGTGCCGAGCGCTGGGCTGAGGCGGGGGGGAAGTTTGGGGAGGTGAAGCTGTCTCGTTGGTTAATTGACAGCAGCGTTGCGTGGTGCTGGGGGAAAACAAAGCAGCCCGAGCTGCTCCCAGCGTGCTTCCAGGCGGAAACGGGGCGAGAGGGATGGAGAAGGGGGGATGCTGGGGTGGGTTCATTCCCCCCCCCCCAGCTGCCCCAAAACAGCATCCCCAGAGCGTGGTCCTGCCTGGTTGAGGGTGGCTAGTCCTGAACAAACAAGTTTATCCGCTGACCTGTTTAGTGGTTGACTTGTGTTTATCTGCACACAATCGAGTCGACTCAAGTGCCTGAATTATTCATGCGGTGTCCTGCCCTCCAGACTTGACTGCTTGTGATTACATCTGCTCGAGACAAACAGTGATGGATACTTCATCTTTAAGCAAAAGGGGATTGTCTGTCTGTGGGCTTATATAACAGATTATCTCTTCTACGCTGAATATTAAGTGCGTGCATATGTGGCCGCGTGTGGTTTCTTCTTCTTTCCTTTCTTCTTGTTTTGTTTCTTGTTAAGGGAAAAATGTAGCTTCATAAACAACTCCATATGAAAGGAAATATTTAGGAAGTGACTCCCCGCTTTGTTGCATGGAAGGCGGTGAAGTCGCTCCTCAAAGCAGCCTTGCTGCCAAATGGACCGGCCTGAGCCCTCAGCCTGGTCTGCAGTTTTCCCTCTAAACCTGAGCAAAACCCCCCTTTTTCCCTGAAGTTTAGTTGATTTTTGCAACAGGAACTTTCATCCCTGTATTGGTTTTGCCCAGTTCCCTGTGGGTAACCACGGGACGCAATCGGAGTAACGATTCCAAGGGGGAAAAAGTGATTCAGCGTGGGGAAGTGGGACGCATCCCGCTCCTTGCTGCTGTTGGGTTTTTATGGCTGAGAACCCTCCCCGTGAGCACTTTGTGTTTTCAAGCACTTAATGCTTGGAACAAACCTAAAGCCCTCCTGACACTTCCAGGGAAGCAGAGACCTGCTTTCTTATTTTCCAGAATATTCCAAGAACACAATATCCTTTCTCTCAGTCTCATTAGCGAGGAGTGCCAGGTAATAATTTGCTAACTACTTGAGAAGCCAAGTAATTTGTTCGTGTGATGTTACAGGTCTCCTAAGGTAGCAGGCAAGAGCTGTCAGCCAGCTTAAGCCCTCCCTCCCCTTGGCTTTGTGGGAGCCCTGAGTGGCTTTTAGGGCTCCTGGGTGGGTTTTGGGGGGTCCCAAGTGCGCTCGGCCCCCCCCCCCCCCCCAACCAGGAGCTGGTGCTAATTCTGTAATGAGGGGTTGGGGCCCTCCCCTCCACACCCCCTCCCTGAATTTAATTCTCATCAGCAAAGCTCTCCACTTTGCTAATAACGATAGCAGCCACAAATAGCTTTCAACATGCCATTGACAGCCTGGTTGGAGAGAGCACTTGAAATAGTGGTAGACAGCTGAAAGTACCCATAATTGTGCGCCGGAGTGAGAACCGCACTGCTCAAGGGCCTTATTTTCATGTGCTTAAAGAGACAATATCCTGGTTTCAACAAATGCTTCTGGTGCTTCACCGGTGGTGTGATTTACTCCTTGCCTTCCTCTGCCTGCCCTCTGCCGGGGCTGGGGGAGAACTGGGGGGGCTGAAGGAGGGTTGTGGTGGTGCAGAACCATCACTGGGGGGTGTGTGTGAGGGACCTGTGGTTCTGGAGCCAAGGGGAAAGCTGGGGCCTCGCAGTGGGTGCTTCTGCTTGGGAGTCTTGCAGGGGGTGATGCTGGTGCTGCATCCCATGGACCATCAGCAGCCCCGTTGCTCTGGGGGTTCAGGCTTGCGGTGGGAAGTGTTTATGGTGTGGTTTTCCAGAGGAGGAAGGGTGGAATGAGTGATGCTGCATGTTCAGCCTTCATCCCACTATTTAAATCAGTAAGCAAGGGCAGGCTGGTTTGCTGTGGCCCAAAATCCTTGCTGAGGCTGCACCAGAGATGGCCTGGTCCAGTGTTCTGGGGTGCCTGGCCTGAAAACCACATAGGTCTGGGGAGGATGTGTGTTGGGTGCACGGGCTTTGTGCAGGGCGCAGCGAGCATCTCTGCTGCAGGCATCACACCGGGGTGCAGCTCCCCTTTGCCCCTCACCCTGGTTCAGGGCCTCGGGTGAGCTGTAGGCTGCTCCTTTCAGCCCCACTCCGCATAGCCCATGAGTGACGGCCGGCAGAGTTATATTTAAGCTTCCTTCTGCCTTGTCCAGGTGTACGGATGAGGGGCCGGGAGCCGGGGCTGTGGGCAGAGCCAGCCTGCAGCTATTTATCACCATGCCACAGCCCCTGTCCTGCTCTCGCCTCCTGCCCTCAAGTGCTTTGGGTGCTGGTGGCAGCTCTGGCCATTTTAAGAGCGGGTGACAGCACTTGCAGCCTGGGGCCCTGGAGCCTGGCTCTGATTTATAACCCCTGCAAGTGCTTGCTCTGATTTCCCCGCTCCAAAACGCTGCCTCAGAAGTGCTTCTTGCCCAGCAGCGGGCCAGATTCCTGCCTGGGGCTGGGGGGGGATTAGTTGGGATTTCAGCCTCTCCTGACCCTTTCTAACAAGTGATGGGGAGCTGTCGTCAGCATCCTGCATCCCGCTCTGGGGCAGCAACACGAGGGACATGGAGATGCTGCGAGGGCTGGAGCAGCTCTGCTCTGGAGCCAGGCTGAGAGAGCTGGGCTGGGGCAGCCTGGAGAAGAGAAGGCTCCTGAAGGGGAGACCTGAGAGCAGCTCCAGTGCCTGAAGGGGCTGCAGGAAACCTGGAGAGGGGCTTGGGACAAGGGATGTAGGGACAGGCCAAGGGGAATGGCTTTAACCTGCCCGAGGGGAGACTGAGCTGAGCTCTTAGGCAGAAGCTCTTCCCTGTCAGGGTGCTGAGGCGCTGGCACAGGGTGCCCAGAGAAGCTGTGGCTGCCCCATCCCTGGCAGTGTTCAAGGGCAGGTTGGACACAGGGGCTTGGAGCAAGCTGCTCCAGTGGAAGGGGTCCCTGCCTGTGGCAGGGGTTGGAGCTGGAGGAGCTTTAAGTCCCCTTCCAACCCAAACCATTCCATCATTCTATGATCCTGTTGCTCGGGTTGAGCATCCCAGGAGGTTCCCCTGGGGGTGCCCTGTGCAGCCCCCCCCCAGTCTTTCACCCACGGCTCATTTGCAGCCCCTGTCTCGTCTCGGTGATGGTCCAGTGAAGATGCAGGGCACAGGAGGGGATGCAGGGATGCAGAGGCTGGGATTGCCATGGCAACCCGCGGTCGGGAACGGAGGTTTTTCTTGGCAGGAGCAGCTCGGGGGGGCTGCACTGCTCAGGGTGAGGTGATGAATGAGCCCTGTCACGGGGAAGGTTCCAGGCATGAAGCCCTCCCCTGTTCCCAGCGCGCCGGAGGATCCCCTTTCGCTCCCGATTAAACTTTTAATGGGGACAACTGGAGTTTAATTTGCTGGGGAATGGGAAAAGTTGAAGTGAACAAATATTTAAAGATGATTGAATCTCCTGTTAACAGGAAACCTCGTGCTTGTAAACATAATATTTTGGACATCCAATATCTCCTTGCTCGCGGAATCCCACGTGGGGAAGTCTCTCTTTTTTTGTAGAGCGCAAAGCTTCTCTCCAGATCTCTGTTGGAAGCCTGGGCAGAAGCGGATGTAAATATGGATTTAACCGTCGCTGTGGCTGCCTGGATGTGCTGGTGCTCGAGGGTGCTGGGGGAGACCTGGGCACCCTCCCTCCCTCGGCCTGCTTGGATGCTGCCGTGTGTTCCTTTGCACCTAAACCGCCTGCGTGATGCGTGGCCCCGGGGACTGCTCGTGCTGTTTGCACCTCAAATGAGGATTGAATTTGTTCTAGAACTTGGGGGCTGGCAAGAAGGAGCTCGGAGGAGCGGCAGCCGTGCTGGAGGAGCAGCGCGCTGGGCGCTTGTCGCATCCACAATCCAATAGGCTTCATCTGGAGGAATGAATATTTAATGGCGCTGCAGTCTATATATATAATCTGATCGATGCCTCGGTGCCAAAAAGGCCTTTCAAGAGGTTTACCTATCGCTGAGCAACGCCTGATGTGAGCCCCGGGTGCTTATCGGTGCTGCTGAAGCGGAGCGGCTCTGCCGGGGCGGTTGGTGGCTCGCACGGTGCCAAACGCGCTCCTGCGCCGTGTGCCTGGGCCTGGTTTCCGTGGCCGTTATCTTCCAGCCCAGTCCTGTCGGTGCCGGAGCCCTTCCTGCGGGCACGGAGCATCCCTGGTGCTCGGGTCCCTGCTAATCCCGGTGGCTGCGGCACTGGGGCAGCTGTAGCCAAAGGAGCCGAGTCCCAAGCCCAGCCGCTTCCAGATGCCTGCTCCTCGCTGCGGTGCCTGCCCCTGTCCTCTGCAGGGGCTAAGAAAAGCATCAGGTGTAACCCAATCACCGGGTGCCTGCGGGAAAGATGATGGCCAGAAATATCCCTGGGATCTGGCCCCAGGGATCCCCATGCGGGGGTGCTGTGGGTCCATGGGGACCCCTCGCAGCAGCTCCCTGGGCACCGGTGCCCATGGGGTCTTTGTAGGGTGGTTCCCTCCGTGGGGTGTGTCTAAGCTGGGGGGAGATCAGGGCATCTCCTTGCTTATGGTGACCATGGGGCGCGTTGGTTGTGCTTGTTAGGTTGATGTTGTGCTAAGGTTCTTGTGCTCCATCCACCGCCCAGCTCCCCACAGTCAGGGCTGAGGCTCTGCTGGTTCTTTTCCCTCTAATCTCTGATATTTGGCTGTTTTTCCTTATGGTATTTGAGAGCCCCTCTCTGTGTGTCAGCTCCCCACAGGGGCTGGCACTGAACACCGGGGCTGCTGTGGGGCGCATCCTGGGGACACCATGGGGCTGAGCAGTGGGGCTGGGGATGCGGGATGCGGTGATTTGAGGTGGGGGGGGGCTGTCTGGGGAGGCAGCTCTGCAGCGGGGAGGCTGGAGCAGGAGCCGGGGAATCAATCCCTCGTGTGCCTGATAACGCGGGGCTGGCGGGAGGAATTCCAGGGCGTTTGATTCCGCGCCAGGGCTCGGCTCCGGCCATTGTTGTGGTGCTGGATCCGCGCGCCCGCCCCGGCCCTGTTTGCCTTGGACCGGGCGCTGTTTTCACAGCTGCAGCCGCCGTTAACTCTTGGGATCCAGGCGGGAAGGTCCAGAGGGCACCCGGGGTGGGGTGGCAGCACCCGCGCTGGGGTCCTCGCCCCAAGGAAACGCCGTTCATGGAGATGCTGGAGAAGGGGCAGTTGGGCGGCGCGGGTTTGCGGTGGAGCCGATGGGTGTCAATGGCTGTGGGCTGAGTTTCCGTGAGCGTGATGTAAGGATGGAGAGAGGAACCTGAAGGGCTTTGGTTTGGGGTGGGGAGAGCACTGGGCAGAGCCAGCAGCCAGCGTTGGCTCAGCACCAGTTCCCGGGTGCCGTGCGCTTGCCGGGGCTGCGTGGGAAGGAACTCGGTGTCCACGCCGAGTGCTGGGAGCGGATGGCGAGGAGCTGTCCCCGTGTGTGATCCCGGCGGGGTGTGAGGAGCCGAGTTTGCGATCCAGCCCTTTGGAAAGCAGCGGCCGCTCCATGGGTGCGGAGCTGCGTTAGGGCCTGGCTCCGTTTCCGTGGGGCCGGGGATGGGCAAGGGATCGAAGCATCCCATGAGGGGAAGGGGGTCAAAGCATCCCTGCGCTGGTGGCCGCAGAGGATGCACGAAGGCGGTTTCGTTGCCTCTTTTGGGAGCTGCCGCTTCCTCTTGTATGGCCGGGAGGGGATGGGGACGCACGGGCTGGTGCCGGGAAGCCTCGTGCAGGCTGCGGGAGCCCCCTCGGTGCTGACTCCTGCTGTTTCTTCTTCCTCTTTCTCTTTCCAGACAGAAATTGCTAAAAGACTGAACACGATTTTAGCCCAGATCATGCCTTTTCTGTCACAAGAGGTAAGGATGCTTCCACAGCAGTGGTGGGGATGCTGCTGGGGGGGGTGTCCCCAGCAAGGCATTCCTTGGGGGGGTCTTATAAGGAGGCACAGACCCACTCCCAAACCCAGGTTTTGGGGGTACTCCATGAGAAATGGGGCTCAGATCTTGCATGTGTGTAGGGAGAGCTGGACCTTGAGAGGGGCTTTGTTCTGCCACTCTGAGCCTGTGGGGCACAAAAGGCTGCGACGGGCTGCTCTGGCACCCTGTGATCCATGGGGCTGCTGCTCGGGAGCAGAATATGGACCCAAACCAGGGGGTGACCAGCCCTGGGGGGGTTGTCCCTTGGGTCCGTGGCCAGCTGTTGACCCAGCTGTGCACCTCTGTCCCCGCAGCACCAACAGCAAGTCGCACAGGCTGTTGAGCGTGCCAAGCAAGTGACAATGACGGAGTTGAATGCTATCATCGGGGTACGTGGACTTCCCAATCTGCCTCTCACCGTGTGTATACCCCTTTTATTCCTATCATTTACCATAACCAGAGGCAATCCTGCGCTCAGGCGGGGTTAAAGGGCAGCTCACAGCATCCCCCCTATCCCACTGCATCCCCCCAAATAACCAAAACTCCCCCCAAAACACCGAAACTCCCCCAGTTTGGCATCAAGGGAGGTGGGGGATCCCTGTCCCTGGGTGTTGATGCAGCCCCAGGAGCCTCCACCAGCCAAATTCCATGTTCTCCATGAGGTTGGGGAGCGGAGCCCTCCCGGACCCCCTGAGCCCAGGCGTGTCTCTGTGTGGGCTGTTGATGTGGAATGTGCTGTAAACTTGATGGAGTTATTGTTGTTCCATGCACTGATTTACCCTCTCCCGTCTTACCGGGCTCTTCCTCACAGATTTTGGGTGGGTTTTGTTCCCTTAAGCCTTAACAGTTTTTATTGTCCCCCTCACTGATGTGATGGGCTCAGTCCTGCGGTGAACCTGCTCCACCCTGCGCCGTGGGTGATCCCAGCCAGCATCCTGGGGAGGGCTCCTGCCTTCAGGTGCTTGTTTTCCAGAAACCACTGAGTTTTCATTTCCTTTCCTTGCCCTTCTCTCTTAAGCCACAGGATGCTGTGATTCTCTGCACTTATTGCTTTTACATAAGATTTTTCTGGGTTTATGGGTAGCTCCGGCTGCAGAATCCTGCTCCGGGCTCCTGCAGCCCTTGGGGCCGAGGAAAGCTTTGCCTTCCCCTCATGATGGGGCTTTGGGAGGCGGTGTGGGTATGGGAGCACATCCCATCGTGTCTGTGCATGGCGGCAAGCAGCGCTGTGCTGCTGCCTGCGTGTTCCCCCTGGCAGAGGCAGGCAGCGAGGGGATGCTCGGCTTGATGAGCTCTAAGTCACAGCCCAGGAGCCCAGGCAGCTGCAGCAGATATTGGAATTCAATTAAGGTGAATGCAGAGGGCCTGTGACCCCCATATCCAAGGTAATTGCTTCCTTGGATCAGAGTGAGTGTCGTCCCCATCACGAAGCACCCAGGCATTTAATCGCTTTGCCTGATGAACTTCCCACAGGCAGGAGTTATGGGGAGAGCCGGGGAGGCACGGGCAGTGGGGCAGGTGCCTCCTGCCCTTGGTGCCTGCAGCAGGTTGTTGTGTCCCATGGGAAGGCAGCGCTGGAGCAAGGGGGGGGACGTGGCTCTGCTGTGTCCCCTCCATGCCCTACAGCAAGGAGCTGTGGCTGCCCCATCCCTGGCAGTGCTCAAGGCCAGGTTGGACACAGGGGCTTGGAGCAAGCTGCTCCAGTGGAAGGGGTCCCTGCCCGTGGCAGGGGTTGGAGCTGGATGGGCTTTGAGGTCCCTTCCAACCCAGACCATTCCGTGGTTCTATTTATAACCCACGCCGCATCTTGGGGCAGGTGCTGCGAAGGGAATCGACAGCAAATCACTCAAACCTCTCTTTTTTTGCCCCTTTTGAGGTCAAGAACTGTTAATTTTATGCATCTAGGCCATTGTCTCAGAGTTCCTCTGCTTCAGGCTCCTGTGAAATTGAGCCCTTGATTTGCTTATAGCTCTGGAAATGATTAGACTACTTTACTAAATTTAACGCAAGTGCTGAACTTAAGTGGTGAACCATTAAATCGGTTAACAAAGGCATGAAGCATGATGTACATAATCCAATTAAAACCACTCTACGTGCTAGATATTCCTCCCCAGCCCTCCTCGGCGATTGTAACCTCTTCATATCTTCACCATATCTGGCTGGCACCTGCTCAGGGACCCCAGAAGGAAAACATCCCTGTGACTGTCTTGTCTCCATATCCCTCCTCCTGCCCGGCCCAGGCTGGGCTGGAATCATGGAATGGTTTGGGTTGGAAGGGAGCTGAAGGCTCATCCAGTTCTAATCCCCTGCCGTGGACGGGGACACCTTCCACTGGAGCAGGTCACCCAGGGCTGGCTTTGCAGCACCAAGCTGATGTCCTGGGCTCTGCAGGGGTCTCAGCCTGGTTTGGGGTCCTGCCAGCAGAGGAGAGCCCCCCTGTGCAGCATCCTCAGTGGTCCCTGACCTGGGAATGCAGCCCCAGTCCTTGCATGTGCTGCCCTGTGTGTGTGTGTGACTTCATTGAGCAGGACCCTGATCCTGCTCAGAGGTGACACCCTGCTTTGTCCCTGCCACTGGCCGAGCCACGGGGCGCCCATCCCTTCTGCAGGAAGGTTTTTGGGTGGTGAAGTTTTCCTTCCCCGGGGAAGGGAATAAGGGGCAGGGGAGGGAAGGGTGGGTTTTGCAGCAGAGAAGATGCCGAGCAAGCAGCATCGCTGAGGAGCTTCACTGCATCCCTCTGCGCTGTGGAGTCCCAGATGGGTTTTATCCCCCTCCGTGGAGTCTCCAGGATGTGATTCCCAAGGGATGTGCATCGACCTCTCCTGGGCTGACACACAGATACGGAGCGCCGCCGCTGGGATGGGATCTTTGCTACCCCGTGGAGCTATGGGCAGCCCAGCCCTAACACTGGATGGGAGGGATGAGGCTTCTCACATGGATTCTGCTCACCGGTTCCTGCCTGCCAAAGGGGAGATAAACACCTTTAAATGTTCTTTTGGCCATGATGGGATGTTGTTTCTTGTGTCTTCATTTCCACGCCCCGTGCTGGAGCGCGGCTGCTGCCAGCGGCTCGGACCCTGCAGCTCATCGACCCCTTGGATGTATTTGCTGGCAGCTTAAAAACGAGGAAGAAAGCGGTTGTTTCCTGCTGCGCTGGAGGGGGAGGCTCATGGTGAGGATGCTTCCTGCTTCCCTGCTCGTGGTGGAGCTGCATCGTCGCCTGGGTCACCACCGCCTTGGCATGGCCCCATCCGCATCACTGGCCTGCAGTGTTGCTGCCTGCACCTGTGAGACCATTCCCCTCTTCTGGGCTCCTGCTGCTGCAGTAGGGGGGGCGTTATCCCGGGCTGGGAATCTCCTGGAGGAGCGTTTTGCATTGCAGATGTTTCTGCTCACTGCGGAAGCTGGAGGTTGCTGTGGATAAAGCGTGGGGTCTCGGTGTGCTCCGGCCCTATAAGAACGGGCACCGCTGGAGAGCTTGCAGGAGAGGAGTGTACAGTGCTGGAAACCCATCAGGAGCTGTTCCCGGGGTGATGCTCTGGTGTAGCAGCCAGCCCTGCTCCTCGCTTAAATGGGTGCGAACCACCGGAAAGTGGGACTGGAAAGAGCCTCATTGATTTCAGCAGGAGCTGAGGCTTGGTTCTTCTCGCTTTGGTGTTGGAGGGATTGATCTTGGCACACGTGCATGGCGAGGAGCCAAGGACACCCACCTCCCCTACCCGGGCAGCGAGGTCTCCTCGCCTGCTGCCTTGCGTGCGCTGGTCTGAGGACACCTCCTGCGATGGAGATCCTGAGGATGCTTCCCCTCCTCTGCCCTGTGGATGGAGGAGCCCAACACAAGCCAAAGAGCTGCTTTTTGAGGAGGAAATGGTTTGTGCTTTTCCTATAACAGCGCTGCAGAGGCCTAATTGCCTTCTCCGTTTGGCTTCTGCCCCAGCTGAGACCTCTGCGCTGCCCAGAAGAACCTGTGCTTGGAGATAATGCAGCTCCTCTGCCTGGAGCTGCAGCAGAGCTGGGCCTGGTTTGCGTCCTGCAGCAGAGCTGCTTGCTGCACCGTGGGCATCTGAGGGGGCTGCTGGGGGGCTCCAGCCTTGCTCCAGGGCAGCAGGGAAGCTTTTTAAGAGCAAACTGGGATTGATTGCTCGGGTGAAACCCACTCTTGGTGCTTTCCCACTGTGTTTTATGGGCCATGTTGCAGTGATTTGTGCTGCCCTGTCAGGCTGTGTTGGGGTCAGGCCTGATTTGGGGCATCCCTTTGCAGCACTGGGGAAGATGTGCTGGGAGTTTCCGTGATGGAAGTGTTGGGAATGGAGGGCTCTGCGTGTCTGGGAGGTATTTTGGTGTATTCCTGCTGCAGTGCTTTGGGCTGAGCCGTGCTATGATGGTGTGGCTACAGCCCTGTGCTGCCTGGCTGTGGGGCTGGACCAAGCCCCTTCAAGGTTTTATAGGATCAGACTGGTTTGGGTTGGAAGGGACCTTAAAGCTCATCCAGTTCCTCAGGCAAAGACACCAGGTTGCTACAAGCCCTGTCCAATCTGGCCTTGAATTCCAAGCACTTCCCTGCTTTGCTTCCATCCGTGCCCCTTGGTTTGCCCCAAGCAGGGATGTGGGTCCATGGTGCGTCCTTTCCATCCCATGGGATGCTCCTCCATGCGCAGCCTGGCTGGCTAGAAAGCTCCTTGCTCTGGTGGCCACTTCCACTGTGTTTGGTGGCACCAGGGAGGGGGAAATCCTGATCAGGGTGGCTGCTGGTGCAGGCAGGAGGGTTGGAAACGTGAGCACCAGCTCTGGGATGCCTCTGTCTGGGTTGGTGGTGGAGGAGCTGTGGGGATGGTGGCCTGGGGCTCTGTAAGTGACACTGATGAAGACAGGACGTTGATTGATAGCACCTCACATCTCAGCTTGTTGGCTTCACGTGTGTGTTTGAACCAGGAGCGCAGGGGATGTGTTGGGTTCCCTTTCCTCCCCCCAGAGCTGTAGTTCAGGTTTCTTCCAGCTACGACTGAGCAGGCAGTTCCCATGGCTGGATGTGTGTGTGCTGGGATACCTGGGGCCCCAGGGGCTGTCACCATCCTGGCTGGGCTGAGGGGTGGCAAGAGGATGATGCACCCATTGTTGAGCCCTGTGCCTGGAGCAGCAGGGTGCAGGATGGGGCCAGTTTTCTTCTCGCCATCGAGTACTTTGGATGTTTCCCTCTCTGATCTGGTCTGGGAGCTGGCACTGCAGCCAGAGCCACTTCATGTGTCCTGGGTGTGGGGTTCTTTAAGCTTGCATCTCCTGAACAGCAAAACGAGCCTTGTCTGCAGTGATGGGGTGAATTACCCTGCATTAGCGATGAGCCCAGAGTCCGGCCCAGGCACTGGTGCCATCCAGCAGTGTCATCGGTGTCTGTGGCAGGGATCACCCCCGGGGCCACGCACGGGGCACCCCCCATCCCTCCTGCTAACGGGGCTTCTCCTTCCAGGCACCAAGCGGGGGCAGCTCCCGGGGCATCACCGGGATGCCCCTTCCCATGGCTCCCTGCCTGAATCCCCCCAGTCCCGCTGCCCCGTCCCCGGCTCACTGGTGCTTTCATTGCAGCAGCAGCAGCTCCAGGCCCAGCACCTCTCCCACGCCGCCCATGGGCCCCCGGTCCAGCTCCCACCGCATCCCTCGGGGCTCCAGCCGCCGGGAATCCCGCCGGTGACCGGCAGCAGCTCGGGGCTGCTGGCTCTCGGTGCCCTGGGCAGCCAGGCTCACCTCGCCGTCAAGGACGAGAAGAACCACCATGACCTGGACCACAGAGGTGAATGAGGGGAAGCAGGGGGTGGGTTCTGCTCTTAGGGATGCAGCTTTCCCCAGGTGATGCTCAAAGTCCTCGAATCAGCCTCAGCAGCCAGGGAGGTGCTGCTGCTGCTGCTGTTGGGGGGTCATGGGATCAGGGAATGGTTTGGGTTGGAAGGGGCCTTAAAGCTCATTCAGCTCCAGCTTGCCTCGCTTGCCCCTAAGTCAGCGCTTGAGCTCCCATAGGCTTTGGGGGAGTCTTGCTGCAAATCCCGCATCCCCATTCAGCCATGCCTTCATGGCAAAGCAGCCTTCCTCCTCCTCTCCATCACTGTTAGAGGCCTTTATGGTCTGGAAATCATATAGCAGTATAATTATATTATTAATATAAAATAACCTATCAGTGTTCACTAGCAGACTTGATGTTTTTGATTTGTTATTAGTGCTAAGACAGTCTTTCAGAACAGAAAATGGGGCATGAGTTCAGCTGCAAACCAGCAGTGTTGAAGGTGCTCCTCCAAAATCCCCCTGCCCATTAACTCACGAAGACCTAAGATCCTTCCCCTTAGTATACCTTAATATACCCCTTTTCAGGGCAGTTACCCAATGCCTCCTGAAGCTGTTGGGCTCTTTGCTGGTAGATTTGGGGTGCTTTTCCTCCCCATGAAAGCCAGTGAGAGGAAAACTGTTGGTAGCAATGATCCAATTCCATCCATTTTCCCAGGGAGAATGGGGCTGTTTGTGGACAGAGGAATGGCTGAACCCCAAGTAAATCACATCAGCAAAAAAGGAAGGGGCAGGGGATGGGGATTTGGAAGCAAAGCCAAAGGGAGCCCAGACAGGAGTTGAGTTAAGGCAGGAGACTGCAACCAGGAGCCTCTGGGGTTGTTCTTCTGTTCTAAGACTTATTCTGACTCGCTTTATTTCTCTGCCTTCTCTTTATTTTGGCTGCGACCTCAACCTCTGACACCGGCTTCTTCTCAAAGAGCGAGACTCGAGTGCAGTAAGTGCCATTTCCCCCTGGTTTTCCTCGCTTCCTCGTGGCTGCTTGCTTTTGTTTTATCTATTGCTTGAAAAGGCTCGTGGCCGTGAGCTCAGCGATGCCTTTTGCACTGCGCCTCTTGAATTCAAGAGAGCTACAATGGCAAGAAACCCCCTTAGCGTGAGTGGAATCACTGCTGGGCTGTTGGCTGCAGCGGGGCGAGCGGAGCCGCCTCCTCCAGCCTGGTTATGAGATTTGGTTTAAACCTTTTTGATTGCCACAGAGCTTGGAGCTTGGGTTTCAGTTGCCTAAGCCCTGTGAATGAGCGCAGTCAAGTCTGGGCGGCTACAAAATCCTCGGGTGATTAGGAAAGCTATTTTATTCCTGATCACTCTTCTATTATCTTGGGTCATCTAATCTGGCGGGATGGGTTTGGCTATTACGCTGTGTTAAGTAGGACTTGGAAGGTCAAGCAGTTAACTAACCAGCTAAATAACCGTGGTGGAGGGCAGCGGCGCCTCCAGCACCGCTGTGATTTCGTGGTGTCCCTCAGGGCCTGGTGCTCCCAGTGCCAGCTGGGTTATTTGGTGCTCGTTTCGGCTGGGGGGCAGGCTCTGAGCCGGAGGGAGAGGGGGTGGTGGCTCTGGTTTTGGGTGGTGGGGAGCTGAACCCGGCACACACAATGCTCCTGTCTCGGGGAAAAGCCGGCAGGACAAAGCCCGGCTGAGCTGCGGCTTTGCAGTGATTTCCTGCCATCCCCGAGCCCACAAATGGGTCTTTTGAGAGCTGGGGGCGGATGGGAAGAAAAGTGCTATTTAAGGGGAGGGGGGAGAGGGGAATTGGGCATCATTAACCTGCTCCTTCAGCGGGAAGGGGGCCGTCGGGGATGGGAAGGTTCCCGATCCATAAAGTAAACGGCGGGGTATTCCCGGCGGAGGTTTAATGCGCACCATAATCAGAGTTAGTCATTCATATTTTCCTAGCCCTTGCCTGTGCAATAAAAAATATTTAGCTGCTTGGCAGCAGGCCAGGGCGGGCTGAATGGATCGATGCCTCTAAATGCTTGACATGATTCTCTGGTAGCTGCGAGGGTTTTCAGCATGACTGCCTGAGAAGAAAGACCTCGGTGTTATCCAAAGCTGCTTATTGGGTACCGAGGAGAAACATGAACTGCTTTAGTTCTTCCTTTCAGCCGGGGAAGAAAGGCAGGCAGAGGAGCTTAAGGGACCTTCCTGCTTAGCAGGGGTGGCAGGCGCTGCTGCGAGACGTGGGGTGATGCTGGCGTGTCTGGTGGCTGGGATGCGGGGCTGGGTGCGCCCCGGGTGGCTCGGTGCTGCCGTGTTTGATCCCAGTGTGCCAGGGGCATGACGGCACGTCCTGGGCTTTGTCACTTGAAGTGGGCTCCTGGGAGGTGGATTTTTCCACACTGGGTGCCCTTTGCCCCTCTAATGAATGCCAGGGATGAGGCTCCCCAGCTCTGCTGATGCTGGAGGAAGCACCCACAAGCTGCTTTGGGTGGCAGTGCTGGGATGAAGCTTTGGTGATCCCCACGGAGGGCAGGGGATGATGGAGATGGGGCTGGTTTGGGGGAGTGCAGCTTTCCCCCTCCGTGCATCCATCAGTGGATCCCAGGAGCTGCTGCAATTGCAGGCAGCTTCCTGCCTTTTTAAACAACAACAGCAAGCTCCTCCCTTTCTTTCATAGAATCATGGCATGGTTTGTGTTGGAAAGGACCTTACAGCACATCCAGTTCCAGCCCCTGCCATGGGCAGGGACACCTTCCACTGGAGCAGCTTGCTCCAAGCCCCATTCAACCTGCCCTTTTCCTGCTCTGCTTTGCTGTAAATAGGCTCAGGAGCAGCCTTGCTGGGGCAGAGCAGCCGCATGAGCTCAAAGTGATGCTGTTTGGTGGCGACCACCCTCCAGCCCAGGCTGGGCCTTGGCACGGTGGCTGGGGAGGAGCTCTTTGTGGCATGTCCTGAGCTGCTCCTTATGAGGTCCTGTTCCTGTTTCCACCTCAAAAGCTGGCTCTGTCCCTGCAGAATAACTCCGTTTCACCTTCGGAGAGCCTGAGAGCCAGCGAGAAGCATCGAAGCTCCACCGACTACGGCATCGACTCCAAGAAGCGGAAAGCAGAGGAGAAGGACAGCATGAGCCGATATGTGAGTGGCAGGAATGGGCTGGAGCACCTGGGGAGCCGGTGGCACGGGGCGTGTGTGCAGGCAGAGCTTTGGGCTGGATAAAGGGGGTTTTGGGTATTGTCCTCATGGGCTGTGCATGACCTGTGTTGTGCTGCTGGGGGGGGGGAGCGTTCAGCAGCTCTCTGCAGGCTGTAACTCACGCTGTGTTTCAGGACAGCGATGGTGACAAGAGCGATGACCTGGTGGTGGACGTCTCCAATGAGGTGAGCCATGGGGGCATTGGGGTCTGCTCTCCCCACTGCGCAATGGGGGTCTGGGGTTGATGCCTTAGGGCCCCCCTCCCCCTCAGCACCAACCCAATTCCTGGCTGATAAAGGAGCCAGAGGGAGCCTGTTCTGCTGCTGGGGGTGCCAATGCTTCCTCTTATCTCACAGGACCCTGCCACCCCCCGGGTCAGCCCAGCCCATTCCCCCCCGGAGAACGGCATAGACAAAGCCCGTGGGTTGAAGAAGGGGGATGCACCCAACAGCCCGGCCTCGGTGGCCTCCTCCAGCAGCACTCCCTCCTCCAAGACTAAGGACCTGGGCCACGTACGTCCTTCGCTGTGCTGGGGGAGCCGGGCTGCGGGTGCTGGTGCCTGCTCCTCATCCCTCCCGTTTCTCATCCTTTCTCCATCCAGAATGACAAATCATCGACGCCCGGGCTCAAGTCGAACACTCCGACGCCGAGGAATGATGCTCCCACCCCGGGGACGAGCAGCACCCCGGGGCTGCGGCCAATGCCTGGCAAGCCAACCGGCATGGACCCTCTGGGTGGGTACCAGACCCCTCTGCTATTGACCTCAGCACAGCTTCACCCATGTCCTCCACTGGGTGCACAGCAGCTTTGGTGGGGGTGTTCAGGCTTATCTGGGACCTAATCCAGGTGCTTCTCACGCCAGAGGCTGGGTGAGGAGGGAGATCCAGTTGTTGCATTGTCTTCTCTGGGGTGTGCGGGTTTGGATGCTGGTGGACTCCAGGGTTATCAGGGACCTAACTGAGGTCAGGATGGGGTGCAGACAGCTCACGTGGTCCCTGTGCCAGAAAGGGGGTGAGGAGGGAGGTCCTCCCATTGCTCCCTCTGCGGGGATGCTGATGTGCTCCATGCCCTGACCCGGTCCCCATCCCTCTGCAGCCTCGGCCCTGCGGACGCCCATCTCCATCGCGGGCTCCTACGCGGCTCCCTTCGCCATGATGGGGCACCACGAGATGAACGGGTCGCTCACCAGCCCCGGCGCCTACGCGGGGCTCCACAACATCCCCCCGCAGATGAGTGCCGCGGCCGCCGCCGCCGCTGCCTACGGCCGGTCGCCAATGGTGAGCTTTGGAGCCGTACGTAGCACTTTTAGCTCCTTTTCTGGCTCCCGGGGGGTGCGGGGAGGGTCTGGAAGGGGATTTTGGGGGGGTGGGGGGGTGTCTCCCCTGTGTCACCTGGGAAACTGGGGCTCCTCACTGCCTGCGTCCTGCATTTGGCCCAAGGGTGCTGGGTTTGGGGTGCCTGTGCCACTGCGTTGGGGTTTGTCCTTCCCACCCGTGCATGCGAAGTTACCCCTAAACGGTCCCTTCCCATGGCGCTTGCTGAACGCTCAATGGTGTGTTTTAAGGCAAAACAGGAAGGAAAATGCTGCCATTAATGCAGGGATTTGGGGGGCTTGGGAACTGCAGGGGAGGGTGAGTGTGCCCTGTGCTGGTCCTTGCAGACCCCAAACCTTTGGTTCTGTGGGCAATCTGTGCCAGTGCCTCAGCACCCTCAGAATCCCCAGTCCTTCCCCTTTATGCCAGGGCAAAAATACCAAACAAGAGAAAAGGGGGGGAGCCACCGAGTGTCCCCACACCAGCCTGGGCTTGCGGGGGGGTGGGAACCTCTTTGTTGGGTACCCAGCTCGTGTGCGGCCTCACCCACATCTGTGTGCCCTTGGCAGGTTGGCTTTGACCCACACCCGCCCATGAGAGCCCCGGGGCTGCCCTCGAGCCTGGCGTCCATCCCTGGAGGGAAGCCGTAAGCAACTCTTGGTCTTCTTATGCACGGGGAGGGGATGAGTGTTCCTGGGAGGGAGAGGAGCAGGGGGGGGTCCAGCAAGGCAGGCCCTGGCAGCTGGGTTTGCAGCAAACCTCTCTCTTTGGGCTCACCCCCCACCCCGTTTGCTCTCCCCATCAGAGCCTACTCCTTCCACGTGAGCGCCGACGGGCAGATGCAGCCCGTGCCCTTTCCCCACGACGCGCTGGCGGGTCCTGGCATCCCGCGGCACGCGCGGCAGATCAACACGCTGAGCCACGGCGAGGTGGTGTGTGCCGTCACCATCAGCAACCCCACCAGGCACGTCTACACCGGCGGCAAGGGCTGCGTGAAGATCTGGGACATCAGCCAGCCGGGCAGCAAGAGCCCCATCTCCCAGCTGGACTGCTTGGTAAGGGCATGGAGCATCCCTCGTGAGCCAGCATCCCACGGTGGGGTGCTTGTGGTACCCAAGCGCATCCTCCCTGCTTTCCTATCCCTAACGTGGTGAATCGTTCTCTGTCCCCCTCCTAATGTCTCGTTCCCCTCCAGAACAGAGATAACTACATCCGCTCCTGCAAGCTGCTCCCCGACGGCCGCACGCTGATCGTGGGAGGGGAGGCCAGCACCCTCACCATCTGGGACCTGGCATCACCCACGCCGCGCATCAAGGCCGAGCTCACCTCCTCTGCCCCCGCCTGCTATGCCCTGGCCATCAGCCCCGATGCCAAAGTCTGCTTCTCCTGCTGCAGCGACGGCAACATCGCCGTCTGGGACCTGCACAACCAGACACTCGTCAGGTGAGCACGAGGGATGTGAGCACCAGGGGTTCCTCTGCTCCCATCATCGGGGTCTCCTGGCCGTGGTTCAGTGTGAGGACCTGGGGCATGGTAACAAGAAAGCTGTTATCAAAGTGTCAGAACCATGGAATGGTTTGGGTTAAAGGGACCTTAAAGCTCATCCAGTTCCAACCCCTTCCACTGGAGCAGCTTGCTCCAAGCCCCTGTGTCCAACCTGGCCTTGAGCACTGCCAGGGATGGGGCAGCCGCAGCTTCTCTGGGCACCCTGTGCCGGGGCCGGTGTTCCCCTTGATGACCTGCATTGTTCTGTTGTTTGAAGGCAATTCCAAGGCCACACGGACGGCGCCAGCTGCATAGATATCTCCCATGATGGTACGAAGCTGTGGACGGGGGGGCTGGACAACACGGTGCGCTCCTGGGACCTGCGGGAAGGGCGGCAGCTCCAGCAGCACGACTTCACCTCCCAGGTACACCCAGGGAGCAGGGAATGTCGTGGTCTCACGGTGCAGCTCCTCATGGACACCCCACGGATGGGTTTATCCCTCCATGGAAGCTGCGTGGCTGTGGGAGGGGGCTTTTCCAGCTGGGAAAATGCTCTTCCCAGGCCACTGTTAGTACGTGGTTGTCCCCGCTGCTTTAGGTGTACCCCAAGAGCATTCATAAGAGCTGGCTCGTGTTTCAGCTCCTCTTTCATCGCTTTCTCATCCACAGCAAGACCGCTGCCGTTGGAAAGCAGTGCTTGCCTAGGGATGCACGCAGGCAGTACAGGCTGGCTCTGGGTGCCCTGCCCAGGCTCCTGCCTCCTCCTGCAGACCCTCCCAAAGCTCTGTTCCAGAGGGGCTTGTGCCAGTGTGATTGGCATCTTCCTGATGGGAATTGCTGGGACACCAAGGGGGGTACAGGCAGAGCTCATGGGTGCAACCCCCCTGATCTCCCCCCCACACAGATCTTCTCCCTGGGGTACTGCCCGACGGGCGAGTGGCTGGCGGTGGGCATGGAGAGCAGCAACGTGGAGGTGCTGCACCACACGAAACCAGACAAGTACCAGCTGCACCTCCACGAGAGCTGCGTCCTCTCCCTCAAGTTCGCCTACTGCGGTAAGAGGCTCCGGCCACGAACTGGCTTTAGTGGTCCTTCGGTGACCGCGATGGGATGGGATGGGATGATGCATGGTGTGGTGATGGGGGGCTGAACGTGGAGGTATCCAGTAGGACCCATCCTATGGATGGAGATTAGCCCCATTAAATGATCCCAGTTGTGGCTAGATCACCACATCACATCACATCATGGAATCATGGAATGGTTTGGGTTTAAGGGACCTTAAAGCTCCCAGCTCCAACAGGGACCCCTTCCACTAGAGCAGCTTGCTCCAAGCCCCTGTGTCCAGCCTGGCCTTGGGATGGGGCAGCCCCAGCTTCTCTGGGCACCCTGTGCCAGCGCCTCAACACCTTCGTAGTAAAGAATTTCATCCTCCTCTCCCAACTAAACCCACCCTCTTTCTCTTCTGCACATTCCAAGTGTAACTGCTGGAGTGTTGGAACACAGAGCGGGGGCTGGAGAAAAAAAAAACCCTCCAGGTTTTCCACTTTTCCCCAAAATCTCCAATTTCTGGGGTTAAACATCCAGAAGCCTCTGAGGACAGAGGGTGGTTGGCCATGGGGTCTGACTGGGGCCAGATTCCATCTGCTGACACTGTGTTTCCCATGCACAGGTAAATGGTTTGTGAGTACTGGAAAAGACAACCTGCTCAACGCCTGGAGGACGCCCTACGGGGCGAGCATCTTCCAGGTAGGAGGCTGCTTCCAGGGCAGGGCATCAGGGCTGGCTCTCAGCATCGCTTTGGGGCTTGAGGAGGGGGCAGATCCTTTTGAGGTGGCCAGTTTGGTACCCAGCGCGTGGGATGCGGTGCTGCCACCATCAGGGATGCTGCTGGGTGATGCTGTGTCGCCCAGGAACCCAAACTGATGGGTTTTCTCCCCCCTCCTTCTCCCAGTCCAAGGAATCCTCGTCCGTGCTGAGTTGTGACATTTCAGCGGATGACAAGTACATCGTCACGGGCTCTGGTGACAAGAAGGCCACAGTCTACGAGGTCATCTACTAAGGGTGGATTTCCCAGCAGGGCTGGCAGCTCCCGGCACCGGCGGGGGCAGGACTCAGCGGCCGGCGGGGGGCTCGGGGGGGCACTGCCATGGGGCAGCCCCACGCTCCGGCCCGGCTCGGCTCTGCCACGGGGACCCCGGCGTTCAATACACCCGGATTTATTTGGAGGTCTGCAACTATGGCACACATTGAAGCCCGAAAACGGATTTCTTTTTGGTTTGGTTTTGAGGGTTTTGGGGTTTATTTGGATTCTATTTTTTGGTTCTCTGGTTCTCTCCGTCTGCGCTTTGGTGGCACTATAAAGGACTCATTTTTTTATTGTGACTTTATCCTCCTGGTTCTTTTTGGTGCATCCTGCATAAGACTTGTGAAAAGTGTAAATACCGGACTAGTAAATAGCATTGGAAGGGTGGGGGACCCCTCCCGGTACACTAGTTGTGTATTTTCGTCTGCTGTAATTGTATTCCACTGATGGTTTTGGTGGTGGCAATTTTATTATTATATTTTTTTTTTTCCCTCCTCCTTTTCCCCACTCCCCCCCCTTCCATTCCTGGGCCGCATCCGTTGGGATGCGCCTCGGCCCCGGCCCTGCAGCGCGGATCCAGGCTGAGCAGAGCTGTCCACTGGTGCAAGTTGTTCCTACTGTCGTCCCCGTGCGTTGTTCGGTGTGTTAGTGATGGTGGGACGCTGCTGGGACCGCGGGGGACTCGGTCGCATCCTCGGCTACTGACGGGACATCAGCAACACAATCACCTTTGGGTTTTTATATATGGATTTATTATTATTTTGGGTTTTTTTTTGGGGGGGGGGGGGTCCTTCTTTTTTGTGCTCGTATGTTTGAAGCAAAGGGGAAGCCCAACGCTGCGGGATCGTCTGCGCAAGCCCTTCTTGGTCTTCGGACAGAAGCAATGAGGAGTGATTTCAAAGAAAGCATAGTAAAAATTCAGCTCAGGGAGCCACGAAAGAGAATAGCAACTTCTGTGTTTTGTATTCAAATGAAAGTAAAGAATTAGAATTGATGATAACCTTTAAAATACAGTTTTTTTAAAAGCAAAAGTTTACTAACAAGTAGGGTTTGTGTGTGGTTGGGGGGGGGGGGGTGGAAAGGGGCTGGCGCTTTGGTAGGGTCCTGTGGGCTATTCTATGGTCTTGTTGTCTCTGGTCTGTAGGTTCCCATGACGCACCCCCGTCCCCCAGGCCTGTGTCTCAGCGTTTTGTACTTAAAAGGGTTTAAAAAAACACAAAAGGACAAAAAAAAAAAAGAAGAAATAATGGGAAAAATAAAAGTATTTGTGTAGCAGAAGCGCTCGCCCTCTATTGTAGCATATGGAGAGGATTTTTATACTGCATTTCTATGGATTATTTTTATTTGAATCTGGTCCTAAAGAAGAGAACAGGGTTGAGGGGTCAGGGCCGAGCTGCCTGGTTTGGAGATGCGACAGGAGGAGGAGGGATGGAGGAGGCTGGTACCCGGCTCATTGGGTTGCGCACTCAGCATCGCATCCCTCTGAGCTGAGCTGGGGTTGGAAGGATAGCTTGTGGGAAATGAGTGTTTTATTCCCCCCCCCCAATGGAAATAAGTTTTTGAGGGTTGTTTTTGCCTTTTTTCTGTTCTAAAGCATAAGGGGAATGTCCCAGGCAAACGGTGTCTGCTTGGTGCGGGTCCTTGGTGCTGTGTTGGCTGTGCAGGAGATGGAGATGGGATGGATCTTGTGCGCTAATGACCCAGAGAGGGGGGAAAAAGTGAGTTCTTTAAAGCTGTGCTTAGGGAAAGTGGTTCTAAGGGTGGTTTGGCTCTGAAAATGCCCCCAGTGCCCATGGACCCGTGGTGGTGCTTGGTGAGGGGCATGGTGATGCCTTATGTGTGATTTGGGGCTCGTGCTTGGTCCTCTGCACCCCAGGGCAGTGATGTGAGTGCATTGGAAAGGGCTGGGGGGGGGGGTGAACCCCCTCAGCAGTGTGACCACCCCCAGTTGGCATCCCCCAGGGTCCCTGGTTTGCAAGTTGGTGCTTTGTTTTCCCCAAAATAAGGAAAAATACCCCTAAAAGCTGAAGGAAGTGCATGTACCGGAGCGGGGGGCGGGCTCCCGAGGCAGACTTCTCAACTTCACACCAAAGTATGTAGCAGAATCTGTACAGCTGTTAATAACTGCACCTGGTTTTTGTACAAAAAGGGAGAAAAAAGAAGAAAAACAAAGAATAAAAAGTAAATGTACTGAAGCTGCAGTGGAAGCCAAGTGTCTGTAACCCATTTATCTCTGAAACGCTGCACCGAGTTGTTGATGCAAGGAAGTGAGGGGATATGGTTCTGTGGGGTGGAGAACCCCCTTTCCCATGGGGATAATGGTGGAGGAAGAACTGAGCTTGGGATTGATGGGAGCAGCCCTTGGCTTCTCCCTGTGCCCATGGCTCTGGGGTTGGGCTGCAGGATGTGCTGCTGAGGGATGGGGAATGGGATGTCCTCTTTCCTCATTGGGCATCCGCCCCTTGCCCTTGCGGGTACCCCAGACCCCATCCATCATCATTTTTCCTTCCCACCCAGCTGCTTTGTCTCGCTGCTGCAGCCTTGCAGTGAGGGTTTAGGGATGCAGGGAAAGGGAGTAGGGGATCCTATGCTCTCAACCTCGGTGCTCCTGACAGAGACAAAGCACTTCCCTTGCACCAGGACATATGTAGCATCCTACGGGGGCTTCCCGTGATGGATTGAACATGACAGAGCCTGCTGCGAGGGAGAAATAAAAAGCAGGAGCAGCACTCTAACCGCTCTGCTTCCCGATAACGTGCAGTGGGAACTGGGGAGGAGGGCATTTAAACCTCATCTTAAGCTGGCTGCAATGAGGGGCTTACACAGGGGACCATTAGAGATCACAATTGCAGGAGCCCCTTTGTTGGAGGGCTGCGGAGCGCCGGCAGCGGAAGGGTTCGGTGCTGCCCCTTCGGGCACCCAACCTGCTCCGGGTTCTGCTCCCACCCGTTCCCAGCAACCTGCTGCCCTTTGCAATGCATTGGGGTTGATGGAAGCCTTTCCCAGTGCTGGTGGAGGAGAGGGGGAAGCCGATTCCCATCCATGCTCTCAGCCACGCGCTGCCTTCCCCCGCTTCATAATGGAAGTATTGGAGACTCACACAGTAGGGTTTGGTTTCATTATACACCGATAGGGGCTTTTTGCTAGCATGCTTTTAGCTCAGCCTTGGCCCATGCTGCTTCCCCGGAGTGCGAAGGCAGGGACCTTGCTGGTGGGTCGGGTGTGAGTTGCACCGGGATGCTCCCGTGCTGGTGCATCCTGTGGCCCAGCACCTTTTGGGTTGTGTTATCCCTTTTCCATGAGTGATTTCACGAGGGCAGACTGAGCTGAGCTCTTAGGCAGAAGCTCTTCGCTGTGAGGGTGCTGAGGCGCTGGCACAGGGTGCCCAGAGAAGCTGTGGCTGCCCCATCCCTGGCAGTGCTCAAGGCCAGGTTGGACACAGGGGCTTGGAGCAAGGGTGACGGATGGTGACCCCTGGGAATGCCTGGGCTGAGGAGCCAAGTGCCTTTTCCCACGCTGTGTCCTCGGTTCCTAACTGGCAGCGTTGGGCAGTGCTGCAGGTGTAGCTGTGCTGTCATGCTGTGCCGTGCCACCCCGTGCCGTGCCGTGCTCTGCCCTGCTCTGCGGTGCCATTCTGTGCCATGCCCCCCCCAGGAACAAAGCAGCGCCCTGCAGGCTCTGCACCCCAACCCATGCGCTTTGCACCCCTGGGCACAGCCATAACAGGGCTCCCCTTTCCCCGCTCTGTCCCCATGCTCTGTGCCCCCTTGGGGGTGCCAGGGCTCGCTCCCCCCCCCGGGCAGCGGCTGGGCTGGGGGGATCCTTCCCTACCCCTTCCCATCACCTCCCCTCTTCGCCGCAGCACCTAACGCCATCCGTCTTCGCCGGCTCGGGAACAGATGGCAGGAGGAGGCTCTGGGACACCATCAGCTGTTGTTATCGCTAGCTGATGACACGGAGTGTAAATTCTGTTGGCTCTGCTCCCTTCGTCTGTTCTGCCTCTGCATCCCACCAGTTTTAATTACTGTAATTGAGTTATAATGAATGATTGTGCATTGCCATTGTCTGTAATGTGGCAGGGAGTATTCTGTTTGTTACACACTCCAGCTAACAACATGCCCCTCCTCGTTGCTTTGTTTATCTGGTTGAAGGGTGTCATCACTTCAAATGGCAGAGATAAAACAGTACTCAGAGTGTATGCTTTAGATGTTTATCGTTTTTTTCTCTTCGCTGCTGGTGCTTCACTGAATCCCGGTGGAAAACTGCAGAAGCAGATAAAAACTCATTTGGCTTAATCCCTCTTGAACAAAACAACCCCGCCGCAAAACACCGCACCAGCCAAACACCCCAACCCAACCCCGCAGAGCTTCTGCTGCCTGGAAAACCTCATTAGCCAGGGTTGAGGAGCAGGGACCATGGCAAAGGGTGGCCAAGAGCCTCCTGCCTCCCTTCTGCAGGTGAGCGGGGATAATCCCAACCCTGCCCAGAGAAGCTGTGGCTGCCCCATCCCTGGCAGTGCTCAAGGCCAGGTTGGACACAGGGGCTTGGAGCAAGCTGCTCCAGTGGAAGGGGTCCCTGCCCGTGGCAGCGGTTGGAGCTGGAGGAGCTTTGGGGTCCCTCCAACCCAAACCATTCCCTGGTTCTGTTTTTGAGGCAGAGGCCAGGATCCCATTAGTTTTCCAAGGCAGCTCTGCATTGGTGCTCCCTGGCTTCACAGAGATAACAGCGTGCTGGTGTGTGCCTCGCATTGCTTTGAGGCAGTGGCTGGCTTAGGAGCAAAGTGTTGCGTGAGCGTTTTCTGTGAAGGACTTGGCTCCATCCTTGCGCTGTCAGTAAATGGCTGAGCTAAATAACACGTTGTTATGAATAGTAGCATTTGATCGTTTTAAACCTTTTCTTTTTTCTTTTCCCTTTTTTCCCCTTCCCAAGGTGAATTCCAGCGGGATCAGCGCTGCACAGGAATTGCCCCGGAGGAAGTTGGCCCTTCACCAGTTCATCTTGTAGAAAAGATTCATTATTACTGTTGAGCTGAGATGAAACAATTCCCTGGAATTAACTCGTCTCATTTCCACCAGCTACAATGAAAGGTTCTGACTGTTACACACTGAAGTCCAACACCCCCCCGACAGCAGCCCCGGGGAGGAGATGGGTGAGCTGATAAAGGTGACTGCATGCACGGGCGCACGTGTGTGCGCGCACACAAACACACGTGTACACATGTACGTGCACCCCCGGACTGCCTGAGGGTGGTTTCCCCCCCCCCAGCCCAGTGTAATTTTCCTGTCATTCCTGATGTGGATGGGCCGTGCCATGGGGAAAAAACCCTTTTTCCCATGCAGCGGTCCCCAGTGTCAGCAGGATGCTGGAGCATCGGCATGACCAGCAGGGAGGGGATCCTGCCCCTCTGCTGCGCTCTGGGGAGAACCCCCCCTTGCAGCCCTGATCCAGCTCTGGGGCAGCAGCATGAGAGGGACGTGGAGATGCTGCGAGGGCTGGAGCAGCTCTGCTCTGGAGCCAGGCTGAGAGAGCTGGGCTGGGGCAGCCTGGAGAGGAGAAGGCTCCTGAAGGGGAGACCTGAGAGCAGCTCCAGTGCCTGAAGGGGCTGCAGGAAAGCTGGAGAGGGGCTTGGGACAAGGGATGTAGGGACAGGGCAAGGGGAATGGCTTTAACCTGCCAGAGGGGGGATTTACACCCAAACCATTCCAGGATTCTATGCTTCTGTGACACCACAGGACCCAGGGCCCGGCACCCACCCAGGATGCTGAGGAGTCCAAACACTGTGACAGCAGTAACTGGGGTTCCACACGTGCAGGTTCTGCTTCTGCTGGGAGGTTAATTCACGGTTCATTCATCTCCCACAAGTACTAAACAAGAGTCTATTGACAGCTCTTGCTTGTTCTGCATCTACCTTCCCACCTGCACCCGCAGCAGAGGAGTAACTGCAACAGAGGGATAATGGCAGCAGAGGGATAACGGCTGCAGAGGGATAACGGCAACAGA